TGTCTGTTGGCTGTATGCATGTCTTCTTTTGAGAAATGTCTGTTCATATCCTTTGCCCACTTTTTGATGGGGTGTTTGTGTTTTTCATCTACAGCCATCTGATCTTTGACAAACCTGACAAAAACAAGAAATGGGGAAAGGATTCCCTATTTAATAAATGGTGCTGGGAAAATTGGCTAGCCAGAAGTAGAAAGCTGAAACTGGATCCTTTCCTTACTCCTTATATGAAAATTAATTCAAGATGGATTAGAGACTTAAATGTTAGACCTAATACCATAAAAACCCTAGAAGAAAACCTAGGTAATACCATTCAGGACGTAGGCATGGGCAAGGACTTCATGTCTAAAACACTAAAAGCAACAGCAACAAAATCCAAAATTGACAATTGGGATCTAATTAAACTAAAGAGCTTCTGCACAGCAAAAGAAACTACCATCAGAGTGAACAGACAACCTACAGAATGGGAGAAAATTTTTGCAATCTACTCATCTGACAAAGGGCTAATATCCAGAACCTACAAAGAACTCAAACAAATTTACAAGAAATGATCTGTTTCTGCTTGAATCTGCCTCTAGGTGGGGACCACGTGACCGGCTGTGGTATTAGTCATGGGTATGGATGAGGTCAGCGGGTTGCCAGAATGCAAAGAATGAGAAACATCTCAAAAGACCAAACTCAGGTTCTACAATAGTGATGTTATTTATAGGAGTAATTAGTTACAAATTTTGAAAACTCTGGCCAAATGACATTTGAGCAGTAAGGGATCATGAAAAACTGTGCCTACATTTTAGCAGAATTCACTTCCCTCCTATAATCTTACTCTCATGGTCTTTCACCAGTTTTACAAAGGCAATCCCTTGGCAAAATAAGGGTATTAGTGTTATGGAGGAACTATTATCATTCTTGCTTCAAAGTTAAACCATAAACTAAATTCCTCCCATGGTTAGCCTGGCCTATGTCCAGGAATGAGTGAGGACAGCCAGCCTGAGACTGGATGCCACATGTATTCAGCCATGCTAGTTTGCTGTCACTGTTGTAAACTTTGCACTGACTCACCAGGGTGTCAGTTGTTGGACAGGCCTGCGGTGCCCAAAGCCCGTGGGCTAATTTCACCCATTTCACTCGTGACTCCATCCTCAACCTACTATGGAGTTCACATTCTCCAGTCATTTCCTAGAGATTTCTGGTTTCCTTTCAGGCATATAACATGCCAGAAATTTGTCACTTGGTTCTAAAAGTAAGTAAAAAGCTGACCAAACTCAAAAGTCAACAACTCGTTAAAATCTCTAGAGGAAAACCTAGGTAGTACCATTCAGGACATCGGCATGGGCAAAGACTTCATGTCTAAAACACCAAAAGCAACAGCAGCAAAAGCCAAAATTGACAAATGGGATCTCATTAAACTAAAGAGCTTCTGCACAGCAAAAGAAACTACCATCAGAGTGAACAGGCAACCTACAGAATGGGAGAAAATTTTTGCAATCTACTCATCTGACAAAGGGCTAATATCCAGAACCTACAAAGAACTCAAACAAATTTACAAGAAAAAAACAAACAACCCCATCAAAAAGTGGGCAAAGGATATGAACAGACATTTCTCAAAAGAAGACATTCATACAGCCAACAGACACATGAAAAAATGCTCATCATCACTGGCCATCAGAGAAATGCAAATCAAAACCACAATGAGATACCATCTCACACCAGTTAGAATGGCGATCATTAAAAAGTCAGGAAACAACAGGTGCTGGAGAGGATGTGGAGAAATAGGAACACTTTTACACTGTTGGTGGGATTGTAAACTAGTTCAACCATTATGGAAAACAGTATGGCGATTCCTCAAGGATCTAGAACTAGATGTACCATATGACCCAGCCATCCCATTACTGGGTATATACCCAAAGGATTATAAATTATGCTGCTATAAAGACACATGCACACGTATGTTTATTGCGGCACTATTCACAATAGCAAAGACTTGGAATCAACCCAAATGTCCATCAGTGACAGATTGGATTAAGAAAATGTGGCACATATACACCATGGAATACTATGCAGCCATAAAAAAGGATGAGTTTGTGTCCTTTGTAGGGACATGGATGCAGCTGGAAACCATCATTCTTAGCAAACTATCACAAGAACAGAAAACCAAACACCGCATGTTCTCACTCGTAGGTGGGAACTGAACAATGAGATCACTTGGACTCGGGAAGGGGAACATCACACACCGGGGCCTATCATGGGGAGGGGGGAGGGGGGAGGGATTGCATTGGGAGTTATACCTGATGTAAATGACGAGTTGATGGGTGCAGCACACCAACATGGCACAAGTATACATATGTAGCAAACCTGCACGTTGCGCACATGTACCCTACAACTTAAAGTTTAATAATAATAAATAAATTAAAAAAAAAAAATCTCTAAGTGATGGCCGGGCACAGTGGCTCATGACAGTAATCCCAGCACTTTGGGAGGCCGAGGCGGGCGGATCATGAGATCAGGAGATCAAGACCATCCTGTCTAACACTGTGAAACCCTGTCTCTACTAAAAATACAAAAAATTAGCCAGGCGTGGTGGCGGGCGAATGTATCTCAGCTACTCGGGAGGATGAGGCAGGAGAATGGGGTGAACCACGGAGGGGGAGCTTACAGTGAGCCAAGATCGTGCCAGTGCACTCCAGCCTCAGCAACAGAGCGAGACTCCGTCTCAGAAAAGAAAATAAAAAAAGGCTGTTAGAGAAATGAAGAATGCTTTTGATGCTTACTGGTAGACTGCACACAGCTCAGGAAGGAATCTCTAGCTTGAGGATGTGTCAATAGAAACTTCCAAAACTGTAACAGGAAAGTTCAAAAAGAGTGGGGGAAAAAAAAGTAGAACAACATATTCAACTTCATATTTAATATTTTGTATTGACAATAGCAATTTTTAATTTGTAGTTGTGGGACAACTACCAAGGCTGTAACTACCAAGGCACGTAATGGGAATACTGGTGGTTTCGGGGACCTCTTGGAGGTAGCCAGGTGGCTGCTACCTGATGGTTTTATTGCCTGTGCTACAAACCATTGTTTCATCATTATGATGCCATCTTCATAAGTTGGGGTTCTTCGTGTGGGGGACACATGAGCCACTGGCTTCTCACTTAGACTCTTCCTAATTCACACAATCTTAAACTCTAGTTGTATTTCCTGAGGTTAACAGAAAATGAAGAAAGCATTTCAAATACCTGTTTTGGGCTCCTCCAAATTTTTCCTAACTCTGCACAGAAATTAGAAACAGGGAATTCTTTCCATATTTACTAACACAACACACATCACTTCTTTTAATTCAGCATCATTCCTCCTTTTATGTAATTGACACACTGACCAGTTCTGCCCTTTTAACGGGACTCTCTCTACTTAAGGAGTTGCTAATTTCAAATCACCTTTGATATCTTTCTTTGAGCATAATGTGATCCTGCAGGAATTCACAGCACACCTAAAACTTAATTTGTAATCAGGAGAAATACTACTACCAGCAATTGATCTTAGATGTTTGGACCATCAGTAAAATTTTCACTTCTGACAACATTTGATGTTTCCTCCAAATTTTGCTATTGTTGTTGTTACTGGAGTCAGAATATAGCATGAGGTCTAAATTCCTGACAACTTTTTATGGGAAAATTACAGTATTACAAATTGAGCATCCCAAATCCAGAAATCCAAAATCTAAAATGCTCCAAAATCCAACACTTCTGAAAACTGATGTAATGCTAAAAAGAAGTGCTCACTGGAGCATTTTGGATTTTAAATTTTTCAGATTTGGGATGCTAAACCAGTACATCTACTGCAAATATTCCACAATTGAAAAGAAGTTAGAAATCCAAAACACTTGGTTTTAAGCTTTCTGCATAAGGAACACTTTATCTGTATGAACTATAGGCATGAAGCTGCACAGGAAATCTCTAGGTCCTCCTCATCCTGCATAACTGAAACTGCACACTCACAGATCAATGCCCTATTTCCCAGACCCCAGCACCTGGAAACTACTGTTCTACTCTCTGATTCACTCTGGAATCCACTGAGATGAGGTACATAGAGTAGTCAAACTCATAGAATCAGAGAGTAGAATGTCTAATGAGAGAAAGTATCTGCAACACTTCTTCCCAAATATTGGTCTATATCCACCAAACACGTACGGACCATGAGGGCCAGACTTCTGTCATCAGTTCATGTTCGGCCTTTCCACCTGTCAGTTCTGCATTTGCAAACTTCCCCATGTATTTCTAGAAAGATCCACATAGTCCTCACCTGCCCTCTATAGGGAGAAGGGAACATCATGGACAGTGAACAGGGAACATGGTCTTGTTCCAAAGCTATCAGAGCTTGCATGTCCCCATCACTCTTTGTACATCATTCCTTGGACTCTGCTCTATCTTTAGTAGTCACTGGCTCAAGTCACTTACTATGAGACAGCTGGGAAAGTGCCACAACTTGTAGCTCCACTCCCTGATGACTGAACTGACCTCCAAGCTTGACTCTGGTCTCCCCTGTGTTATTTCTGCTGAAGTACGCAGTCCCAGGCCAGGCTTCCCAGTACCCAAAGGGTTTAAGGACATTGGGAAGTTCCATCATCCATCTCTAGGCTATCCTTGGAAGGGGAAGCTGAAGAGAAAACATACCCTAGGAGGCAAAGTAAGACTGAAACTAAAAAGATTCCAGAACTACATGCTCCAGGTGAGGACCACAGGGTGGGCCAGGCAGGCAGTTGGAGAGGGAGAGACTCAGAGAGGCACCAGGGACTGTGAGTGCTGGTCCCATGTTTTTCCATGACCCAATGCTGCTGCTCAATTCACATTTGGGGAAGTCTGTGCTTCTCCCACATACAGAAGGCAGCCTCACAATCTCTGAGCCCTCAGATTGCCATGCATCTGTCTTGTAACACATATACCTGCCATGGACTTTTAGGGACATGGGTGTGCTGAGAGGTAGGAAATGCCAACTCTGATTGAAAAATGTCTTAGGAGGAATCAAACGTGCCACACAGTGCAATCTTCTCTCTGTTTTCTCCACAGTGGAGACTCCCAAGCCCTCCATCTCCAGCAGTAATTTAAACCCCAGGGAGGCCACGGAGACTGTGGTCTTATCCTGTGATCCTGACACTCCGAATGCAAGCTACCTGTGGTGGATAAATGGTCAGAGCCTCCCTATCAGTCCCAGGTTGCAGCTGTCCGAAAACAACAGGACCCTCATTCTATTTGGTGTCACACAGTATACTGCAGGACCCTATGAATGTGAAATGAAGAGCCCAGTGAGTTCCAGCCGCAGTGACCCAGTCATCCTGAATCCCATCTGTGAGTATCTTCTGTTCCTCTGTGAGCCAGGCTGCCATCTCAAATACATATGACCAGAGGCCAGGTCTCCCTGTCCCTCTCAGGGGCAAGTACAAAGACCTTTACCCCTGCACATCAAAGCTGGCCATGACTACAAAGAATAGGCTTCAGCTTGATCAACAATGGGAGAGAAGAGGCTGCTCCTGTCACAGGAGACTCAGGGTCCACAGCTTATGATGGGAGAAACAGGTGAATGTCTCAGGCTCCAGAACAGTGAACACAGCAGGGATTTGGCTGGGACTTCAGTGTTGTGACTAGGCTCACAGGGTCACTGTGGCCTTTCCACAGACCAGGATTTTCCCTTCCCTCTGACAACATCAGCTGTGACTTTATTCTCTTTGCTCCAGATGGCCTAGATACCCCCACCATTTCTTCTTCATACACCTATTACCATCCAGGGGAAGTCCCCAAGCTATCCTGCCTCACAGACTCTCACCTACTGCCAGAGCTTTCTTGGCTGATTGATGGGAAGTTCCAGTAATCCAGATAAAGAACAAAGTGTTCTTTATCCCCCAAATCACTAAAACATATGGAGGGGTCTATGTCTGTTTCATGCATAACTCAGCCACTGGTGGAACAAATCTCATAATCCAGAGGATCATATTCCCTGGTAAGTGGATCCCTGGAGCATTGCCAATACGTTTTCCAGTGAAGTCTCTCCGGCTATCAGGGAAGAGCCACCTGCCCTCTGCAAAAGGAGGGGGAAAATCAAAAACCCAGGACAGGGAATATGTCTCTGCTCCAAAACCACCAGCTTTTGCCTGTCGCCTTCACTCCTTCTACATCATTCTTTAGACTATAAAGTAACAATGAACAATCTGAAAGGAAATTAAGAAAAGAATTTCCAATCACATTAACATCAAAAGGAATAAAATATTTTGGAATAAGTTTAACCAAAAAGGTCTAAGGGTTATATCATGAAAACTACAAAACATTACTGAAAGAAATTAAAGACGACATCATTATATGGAAAGAAAATTCACTTTCACGGATTGGAAGAATCAATATTGTTAGGAAGACAATATTACTCAAAGTGAGCTGCAGATTCAACACAACCCCTACCAGAATCCCAGTAACATTTTTTGCAGAATTACAAAAATCTGTCCTAAATCTGACCTGACAGGCTCTTATTGATGACTGCTACAACAGAGACACTGAGGAAAAGATGCAACCATGAAAAGGTGGAAAGTGTTGATGACATAGAAAATAGCAGTCATTATTTCTCACATCCCAAAACCTTCAAAAATATACAAGTGCAGCATGGCCAGTATGGAATTGACCAAAAACTAGTCACCAAGCTAGAAACATGGTGAGAGAGAGAAAAAGGAAAAGAACGTATTTGGCCTACCACCTCCCACTTTTGCGTACTAATCTGATGCTGAAAAGAAATGCTCACTGGAGCATTATAGATTTGGAATCTTTCAGATTTGGGACGTTAAACCAGTAAGTATGTGACAAATATTTCAGAATCAAAAAATGTCAGAAATCCAAAACACTTTTTGTCCTAAGTCTTATGCATAAGAAATACTCAATCTGTGTGAACTGTAGGCATCAAGCTGTATATAATATCTTGCATAACTGAAACTGCACACCCATGAACAACTTCTGATTATCCCCACTCCCAGCTCCTGGCAACCAGCAGTCTCTTCTCAGATTCACTCTGGAATCCACTTCCATGAGGTCCCTAGAGTAGTCAAACCCATGGAATCGGAGAGTAGAGTGTAAAATAGAAGAAAATATTTCCAAAACTTCTCCCAAAATTTGTCTCATTTCCATCAAACATACCTGGTCCAACGAGGACCAGATTTCTAGCAGTTCATTCCCACCCTTTCCACCAGTCAGTTCTGCATTTGCAAATATCCACATGTATTTCTGGAAGGATCCACATAGTCCTCACCTGCCCTCTGCAGAAGGAGAGGAAACTTAAAGATTCCAGAACATGGAATATGGTTCTGCTCCCAAGCCACCAGCTCTTTCCTGTCCCCTTCACTCTTTCTAGATCATTCCTTGCACTCTGCTCTATCTTTGGAGGTCACTGGCTCAAGTAAGTCATCATGAAACACCTGCAGAAAACTGCCCCACCTTGTGCCTACACTGCCTGAGGACTGAACTGACCTCCAGGCTTGATTCTGGTCTCCCCTGTCTTATTTCTGCTGAAACATCCAGTCCCAGGCCAGGCTGCTCAGTATCTTCAGGGTTTCAGGACAATGGGAAGTCCCATTATTACTCATCTCTAGAATGTCCTTGGAAATGGAAGCTGCAGAGAAATCACATCTAGGGGGACAAAGTAGGATGGAATTTGGAAGGGGCACAGCAGTTGCACATTCCAGGTAAGGAACCCAAGGTGACCCAGCCAGTCAGTACCAGGGGCTGTGACTCCCACTGATGTGTCTGTTCATGACCCAACACTGCTGCTCAATTCACACTTGAGAAAGTCTGTGTTTCCCTAAGACAGAGCAGGTGGCCTCACAGTCTTTGAGCCCTTAGATCACCATGCATCTGTCTTGTGACACATGCACCAGTTATTGGCTTTCAAGGACTCAGGTGGGCTGAAAGGTGGGAGATGCCAACTCTGATTGAAGGATGCCTGTGGAGGAATCAAAGGTGCCACACGGGACAAACTTCTCTCTGTTAACACACAGCGGAGCTGCCCAAGCCCTACATCACCAGCAACAACGTCAACCCCATGGAGAATGAGAATGTTGTAGCCTTAACCTGTGAACCTAAGACTCAGGGCTACACCTACTTGTGGAGGGTAAATGGTCAGAGCCTCCCGGTCAGTCCCAGGCTAAAGCAACCTGGTAAAAACAGGATCCTCATTCTACCCAATGTCACAAGGAATGACACAGGACCCTATGAATGTGAAATACGGGACCAAGTTGGTAGCATCCCCAGTGACCCAATCACCCTGGATGTCCTTTGTATCTTTGGTTCCTCTGTGGGCCAGGCCACCAGCTAAAATCCAAATGACCAGAGGCCAGGCATCTTAGTCTCTCTCAGGTCCAAGTACAGACACTTTTATTTCTGGACACCAGGGCTGGTCATGGTGTCCCTGCCCTGGGAAAACCTGAGTAGGCACAGCCTTCACCAAGAATATAAAGGGAGAAATTCTCTTGTCACGGGAGACTTGGGGTCTACAGGCTGTGATGGGAGAAACAGGCGAATACCTCAGGTCTCGGCTCAGTGAACACAGAAGGGGTTTGGCTGGGTGTTGAGGGTGTGTCTTGACTCAGAGGGACACTGTGTCCCTTTAAGAGACCAGGAGCATCCCCTTCCCTCAGACGACATCACCTGTGGCTTTATTCTCTTTTCTCTAGATGGTCCACACGTCCCCAGCATTTTGTCTCCATTCACCTATTACCATACAGGAGAAAACCTCTACTTGACCTGCTTCGCGGACTCTAACCCACCAGCAGAGTATTCTTGGACGATTAATGGGAAGTTTCTGCAATCAGGACAAGAGCTCTCAATCCCTAAAGTTACTGAAAAACATAGCGGGCTCTATGGTTGCTCTGCTCGTAACTCAGTCACTGACAGCGAACGTTCCATATTCAAGAGGATCAAAGTCTCTCGTAAGTGGATCCCTGCATCATTGGCAATAGGGTTTTAGGTGGAGTCTATCAGGATTTCAGAGAAGAGTCAGGAAAACATGTTTATTCCCAGCCTGTGTCCCATGGGCAGAAGAAAATCCTAAATTCTCCTCCTGAACCCTCCCAATTTGTCTCTACAGACACTCTTCTCCTTGTTTCTCTGTTTTCTCATGGCTGACTTTGTGTCCAGCCTGAGAAAGGTAGGGAGGGGGCTTTGTCAGCCCTGAGCCCTATGTGGTGGAAGAGACTTCACAGAGGGACAAGAGGAGACCCCTCAAGGTCAAGTTGCTTCTCACTGTCACCAACACATCCCTTTCTACGTGGTTTTTGTTGTCTTTTACCTACTCCATGAGCTACAAGGAACATCTGAGGTTTTGAAACAAGCCCATATTTTTCTCCCAAATGAGAGGAGGAAGCCCCGTGGATGAGAGAGGAGCAGCTCAGTCCGCTCCCTGATCTGCTCCGGGCTTCTCCGGTGACTGGCGCTGCCTGACTCCACCTGGGGTGGGACCAGCATGTGTGGAGAAAGATCCCTGGTGGCCTGTCCTGAATTTGGCTAAATCGAGCTGCCAGTTGAAGTGAAGCCTAGGCTACAGGGAAATAAGAAGAGAGGGAACCTCGGGGCAGACTCTTGAGCTGTGTCCTGGCTCTGAAGTCACCAGCTGTATGAGGTTGTGGGCACTGCACGTGGGACACAGCACAGAGGAGAGTGAGTGATGCATACTTGAAGAAATAGGGAGATTCACCTCTAGGGCTCTGGATGGCAGGAAAGGGGCAATGCCAAAAAGTGTGTATTTATAGTGTGTAAGACTACCAGGACACTTTTTATATATCTAATATAAGGGTTATCAATAACTATTTCTAAGTGTACAATTTAGTGTTGTGTAACCATCACACTATCCATTTCCAGAACTTTTTCCTTTTACCATATTAAATCTCTGTACCCAATAAACAGTAACTCTCACTTCTTATGCCCCTAACCCTTAGCACCCACCATTCTACTTTCTGTCTCTATGTAACTGGCTATTCTATCTTTTATAAATGGAATTATGTAATAGTCATCCTTTTGTGTCTGACTAATTTCGGTTAGCATAATGTCTTCAACGTTCATCCATTTTGCACGATGTATTGAAATTTTATTCCTTTTTAAGGTTGAATAACATTTCGATGTATACATATACCTCATTTGCCTACCCACTTATCTTTCAATGGACTTTTCCATTGTTTCCATTTTTGGGCTATTGTGAGTAATGCTTCTCTGAACATCAATGTGCAAATATTTGTTAAAATTTCTTTCAATTCTATAGGCAGTATGTCCAGAAGTGGAATTGCTGGATCAAATGGTAATTTATTGTTTAATTTTTTGAGAAACAGCCACACCACTTTTTACAGTGGCTGTAATATTTCCCATTCTCATCAGCAATGCACTAGAGCTCCAATTTTTCCATCTATTTGAAAACACTTGTTGTTTTGTGTTGCTGTCGTTGTTGTTGTTTATCAAAGCCATCAAAGTGTGTGAGGGGGTGTAACATTATGGTTTTGATTTGCATATCTCTAAGTATTTGTGACGCTGAGGAGCTTTGCATGGGCTAATTGAATATTTGCATATCTTCCTTGGAGAAAACTCTATTTTAATCCTTGGTTCATTTTTTAATTGGGTTTTGAATGTTTGCTAGTTTTTCATGTATTCTGGAAACTAATTTCTTATCACACTTATAATTTGCAAATATTTTTCTCATTTCATGGGTGCATTTTTACTTTCCTGATAATGTTCTTTGGTATATAAAAGGTTTTGATTTTTATGAAGTCCAATTTATCCATTTTATTTGTTGCCTATTCTTTTGTTGTTACAACCAAGGAATCATTGTGAAATCCAATATCATGAAGGTTTTCTTCTATCTTTTCTTCTAAGAGTTGTATAGTTTTTGCTCTTACATTTAGATCTTTGATCTATTGTGGGTTAATTTTTGTATATGGTGTTAGGTAAAGGTTCCACTCATTCTTGCCCTTGGATATCCAGCTTTCCCAATATCATTTGGTGAGAACACTGTCCTTCCAACATTGAACGATCTTGACACACTCGATGAAAATCATTTGGCCATATATGCAAGTATTTCTTTCTGGGCTCTCTGTTCAATTTCATTAATTTCTATGTCCTCCTTTATGCCAGTACCACACTGTATTGGTTGCTGGGGCTTTGTAGTAAATGCTGAAATCCGGAAGTGTCAGTCCTCCAGGCTTCATTCTTCCTCTTCAAAGTTGTTTGTCTATTTAGGGTCATGCGTTTCAATATAAATTCCTAACAATATTGAGTCTTCCAATTTATGAAAACAAAATTTCTTTCAATTTATTGATGTCATCATTAAGCAATAAGTTATGGATTTCAGGTATAATCATTTTACCTCTTTGGTTAAACTTCTTCCTAAAATATTTTATTCTTTTTGATATTAATATGAGTTAAAACTTTTTCTTAATTTCCCTTCGGATTGTTCATGGTTAGAGTATTGAAATACGACTGATGTTTGAATGTTGATTTTGTATTGTGCAACATTACTGAATTCATTTATTAATTGTAGTAGGTTTGTTCCATCTTAGGATTTTCTACATATAAGTTCAAGTTATCTGCAAACAGAAATAATTTTACTCCTTTCTTCCAATTTGAATGTCTTTTTTAAAATTCTCGCCTAATTTTTCTGACTAGACCTTTCAATACTACATTGAATAGAAGTATCAAAAGCAGCATCCTTGTCTTGTTCCTGCTCATACAGGGAAAGCTTTCAGTCTTTCTCCGTTGCGAATGATGTTAGCATTGGGTTTCTCACATATTGCCTTTATGTTGAGGTGATTTCCTTCCATTCTTAGTTAGAATGTTTTTAGTGTGAAAAAAACATTGAATTTGATCAAATGCATATATTGATTCAATCTTATTACTGATTATAGTTCTATTCATATTTTTGTGTTTTCCTAGGAATTTGTCTATTTCATCTAAGTTATCCAATTTATTGGCAAACAATTATTTATAGTAATTTCATAATCATTTTATTAGAATTGATAGTAATCACTTCATTTTCTTTTTTCTTTTTCTTTTCTTTCTTTCTTTCTTTCTTTCTTTCTTTCTTTCTTTCTTTCTTTAACAACAACAACAACAACTCTTTTTCTTTCATTCTTTTTTTTCTTTCTTTCTTTCTTTCTTTCTTTCTTTCTTTCTTTCTTTCTTTCATTCTTTTTTTAACAGAGAGACAGGCTCTCACTTTGTAGGCCAGCCCAGGCTGAAATACAGTGGTGTGATTATGGCTTACTGCAGCCTCAACCTCCTGGGCTCAAGCTATTCTCTTTCTTCAGCCTCCCAAGATACTAGGACTACAGATGCATGCCAATATGCCCAGCTAATTGTTTTTTAATTTTTTTTGTAGAGACTGGGTCTCCCCAGGTTACCTATGCTGGTCCAAACACCTGGCCTCAAGAAATCCTCCCATTGTGACCTCCCAAAGTGCTAGGATTAAAATATGACCCATCATACTCAGACTCCATTTTCATTTCTGATTTTAGTAATTTTAATCTTCTCTCTTTTTTTTCTTAGTCAGTCTATTTAATGGTCATCCATTTTGTTGATTTTAATTTGAAGAATCAACTTTTGGTTTCATTAATTTACTCTATTCTTTTTCCATTCTCCATTTTATTTTTATCCACTCTAATCCGTATTGTTTCCTTCATTCACTGTGCTTGGGTTTCGTTTGTTCTTCTCTCATATTCTGAAGTATGACAGAGTTTGCTTCATATCATTCTTTTAAAGGTTTCATGCAGTCAATGAAACAAGATGCCACACACAGGCGAACCAATGTCAGTTGCTATATTACTACCATCGTCATTAGCATTGAGGTCAAATAGTCCCAGAATCAAATCTCAGATCCACCTATTACTAGCCATATGACACCAGGAAAGCTTCTACACTACTCTAAGCTTCAGTCTTTTCAATGGCAAAATGGAAATAATATCTGCCTGACAGGCTTACTGTGTGAATTAAATGAAGTACAGGTAAACTATTTAGCACAGGGCCTGGCACATAGGACGTGCCCCTCAAGAGTACCTGTTTCCATATATATATAGAAAAAGAGGTAACACATAAAACTCTAGGACATGGTGACTGATTACTTGTGGGAGAGAAAGGAAAAAAGCTAAGTGCAAAGAACCAAGCCTGGCATGTTAGTTTTTACCAACTGAGATATATCCAGGATGGGATTAGACATATAAGATAATTTATCAGGGAAGACACCTCTGAGGGAATGTGAGGCAGGCATGAAGGTAGTATGGGAGAACTCACAGACCACTAAACAAATCTGACTCCTGTGAAAAAGAAAGAGAATGAAGTTTTAGGTATCAATGCAGTTCTAAGAGAGTTTTTGCAAGGCTGATGGGTAGTCCTCCTACCAGTTTCCCATTAAAGTTAAACAGAGCCTCAGAGAACTACACTTACTTTCATGCCCTTGCTGGGAGCCTGCGGGAAGGAAGCTTTCTGTGTAAAGGATGTGGTGAATTTGAAATGCACTGACCTGGGCCTTCTGTCAATTTTGTCCCTGCCATGAAGACCTGACAGGGTCTCATTCATGGTTGCCACCACAGAGACACTGAGAAAAAGATGCAACCATGAAAAGGTGGAAAAGTGCAAAGTTCTAATGACATAGAAAATAGCAATCAGCCTTTCTCACATCTGAAAGCTTTCTGAAATATCTGAGTGTAGTTGAGAATTGACAGAGGACTGATCACCAACTTAGAAACACGGTGAGAGGGGATAAAACCTCCAAGAATATAACCATCTCCCATCAAATTTCCTACTGAAATAATGCATTCCTTGAATAAACAATTATAGAGTATCTCATGTTACATGCCTGTTCCTGAGGCTTCCCCCAGTAAAATAACATCACCGCCATTCGTTCTTTTATTTCGTTCCATGACAGCTCCTTTAAGAAGATCACAGCTATCCTGGAATATTCCAATATAGCAACCGTGATGTCATTTCTGTATTTCAGGAAGACTAACAGGTATGATGGCATTTTCTCTTGTTCTGTTTTCTGCAGGGCTGACTGCCATGCTTGGGAGAGGGAAAAGACTTATTTCCCTGTATCTGGGACTGGATCTCCTCCTTCCTCCACCAAACTCCTGCTTCTCAGCACTAATTCCTGCAGTTCCCTTTCTCCCTGGCCTTTATGCTCCCTCTACCCCAATGTCATTTAGACATAATTATCACCAGTCTCTGCTCATTTGTTTCTCAGATTCACATGAGAAACATAATTCCACATTATGAAACCCTCTTCATTATTTTTAACATCTCTCAATAGTGTAATTCTCTCCATTCCCATAAAGCTCAACCATTTCTCAAACTGTTGCTTGACTTCTTGTCTCCAGACTTTGAAACCTTCCTTGCATAGGACTGCCTCATTACCTTTCTAAAATCTAGTTAATTCACTTAATCAAGAATCCCTAAGGGTCTACTCTAGCCTATTTGGTAAGTTTACATTTCTTCTATTTACTAATCCTTCTCACTTCCTTTACCTCTACTTCCTAGTACAATTCCTCCATCCTAATTACAACGGTCTTCCTACATATCCCTGCCCCTTCACCCATATAGACAAAAAATTCTTAGTTCCAATGCTATGCCTAAAAACAGGGTGAACTCCCCTCCACCACCTGCACTACAGACTTAACCACTCCCTTCATCACAAGCAATCTCCGACCTCATGGAGAACAAAGACTTTAGGATTAGCCTGTGAACCTGAGACTCAGAACACAATGTATGTGTGGTGGAGACCTTTTCCTGATGACTAATTCACTTGTTCAGAAAAGATACAGAAATGAAGATGGCAAAGTCCCTACCCCAGGGGACATAAAGCCTAAGACAGAGAATGAGACCTGAAAGCAATCATGATACCAAAATAGAAAAAAAGTGAAGGCCACAAGAAATCAGAGAAATCTGATGGGAAATACAGCTACACATTGGAATCAATGGAAAATATTATTAAAAGTGGATGCTCAAACCCCATCCATGAGTTCCAGTTTAAAAGTCTGGAAAGCGACCCAAGCACTGGTAATTTTTAAGTCTTCCTTGATACTGCAAACATGTAACGAGGATGGAGAACTCCTGTTGTAATAGGTAGAACTTAAAACTAAATCAATGATTTTCAGCTAGAAGTACTTGTATTACCTAAGGACCTTTTTCAACATAAACAAGACTATACTTTTGTGGCCCTAATTATTAACGGGCTACACCAAGAACTCAATAATCCAGTTGGGAAACAGAGCTGAATGGAAAAGCCACCTTATTTGATATATTAAAATATATATAAAGTATTTTCAAATGAGTGATAAGTGATGCTAAACCTTCTCTAAATAATATTTATGGGAATGTTAATAATATGAGTATTCTAGGCTGGCATGGAGGCTCACACCTGTAATCCCAGCACTTTGCGAGGCCGAGGCTGGCAGATCATGAGGTCAGGAGATCGAGACCATCCTGGCTAACACGGTGAAACCCCGTCTCTTCTAAAAATACCAAAACAAACTTAACGGGGGGTGGTGGCAGTCACCTGTAGTTCCAGCTACTCCGGAGTCTGAGGCAGGATAATTGCATGAACCCAGGAGGCGGAGCTTGCAGTGAGCAGAGATCATGCCACTGAACTCCAGCCTGGGTGACAGAGCAAGACTCTATCTCAAAAAAAAAAAAAATGAATTTCAAAACAAATGAGTATTCTAAAAACTCTGTGAAATTTCTGGAAATCCAATATGTTATCAGTCATAGTATCATATGCCACAGAAGTAACTAGATTTCTATGTGAGTTCTGTCTTTACCATAATAAACCTAACAAAAATCTCTTTAGATTTCTAACCATAGTCATTTTAAATCTTTGTCATTCCCAGACAGTTGCTATGATTCTTCCTGGAAGTATTTATAATCAGCAATAGTCCAAATTTGCTTTTTCTTTGAGGTGATATATGGAAAACTCTCTGACAACGACTCTTGAACACAAGTTTCTGATAACTTCAATATCATAGCACTGGACTCTCTGAGAACTTTCAAACTTTTAATGAACAGGTTGATATCTTCCTGGAATTCAAGGCAAAGAAGAAAAAAAACTCAGTTTTATGGGACTAAGCAATACAAAGGATAAGGTTTTCATAATTTTTTATTTGAAAATGTGCTGATTCTTTGAATTTTTTTTTCCAGACTTATGAACTTTCTCTTTTAAGCTATTAATACTTTACAGTAATTTGGTAAACTACACTTTTGTAAACAAAAATGAAACATTTGCTTTTACTCCCAGTCTGAGTGCCTCAGAATTGGGAAACTATTCATGAGTATTCATATACTTATGGTAATAAAGTTATTTGCACAAGTTCAGTAAGAATCTACTCTGTTTATAACAGGACACATTTGAAAACATTGGTTATGTTACCAAGGCTTTGACTGGGATGTTCTATTTGAGAATATACATAGAATAAACCCATTGGAAATGCAGCAAAGTCTAAAGTTGGCCTTGGTTTGGCTTCCTAGTCTCAAGAGGTTTTGGAAGTTTAATCTGAGAGTCTTATAAAACTTCTAGCAAAGCAAAGTTTAAAAACAGCCCTATGGTCCCTTGCTACTCTTGCTGCACTTAAGAAAAAAAATCTAGGCAAGTTCAGTGAGACTCATCCTATTTTGCAAACAAATTCATCCTACTGGAATTATCTTTGGTAAAAATAGAGACTCCTATATAGAGAAAAATTATATTGAAAAGAAAACTGCAGTACACCTGTTACTGTATTGAACCATTCTTCATTATCTTTGAGTATTTAAAATCCACTGGTAGACTGGATTGTACCCTGAATTCTTTTAGTTTTTCCAATTCAATTTTCTATAATGAAATCATTAAGAACAAGAACAGCTCTGTTAAAACCCTCATGTCTGAAGTGTGGGCCACTCTGAGTTCACCAAATATTCAATGCCATAACTTAGAGACACTTAAACTGCAAACCAGGACAACAAGTTGATGAGTGTACACTATGGACAGCTTTTCTCAAGATGTCAGAACAAGACTATCGATCATGATGAGACTCTTACCTCTCTTAATTTGTCCTTGCTTATGCCTGTCTCCTTTGCTTCCCAGAAAAATGCTGTACTTAGGATTTCACAAGAAATACCTTCTGAGAGTAAGTTAACAGTGTCAGATATATTATGTCAACCACACCTTTTACTTTTAAGGTGGAGTTTCTCTCTTCTTGCCCATGCTGGAGTTCACTGGCACAATCTCGGCTCATCACAACCTCCGCCTCCTGGGTTCAAGTGATTCTCCTGCTTCAGCCTCCCTAGTATCTGGAATTATAAGCATGCGCCATGACACCAGGCTAATTTTGTATTTTTAGTAGAGACAGGGTTTCTACATGTTGTTCAGGCTGGTCTCAAATTCCCGACCTCAGGTGATCCGCATGCCTCAGCTTCCCAAAGTGCTGAGATTACAGGTGTGAGCCACCACACCTGGCCCACACATTTTTACATAACCAGAGATCCTTTAATCCACCCAAAGTCTGACATAAGCTGCATCTTTAACACAATATTTCCCTCAAATGTATGGAGATTTTTTAAGCTTCTACTTCTATACTTGCCTATTCTTCTCACTCCCTGTTTTAATTTAAAGTAGACATGCAATGCTAGAAAATAGAATTGCTCTCTACCAGCTAAACAAGGGGGGAGCATGTGCAGTTTCTGACACTTCTTGTTGCACATGGATAAAAACATCGGGTATTATAGAGACTCAGTTGTAAAAATCAACAAATGTGCTGCCAGGTTAAAATGACTAGACTCTTCTGGCTTCTTCTTTGATCTATTCTATTGTAGTTAGTTTGTATCTCGCCTAAGGTGCATATTCCAAACTGTTGATATTTTCATCCTGATAGTCATACTGGTACTCTCCCTCATGTGGTGCAATTTACAAACATTTTTATTTGTGTGCAGCCATCCTTCAAATATCAAATTGTTTCTCTTGGGCTGGAATTCAAAAACTCAAGGAAATGTGTGGTTTATGGGCCAGGAGCAGTGGCTCATATCTGTAATCCCAGCACTTTGGGAGGCCAATGCAGGTGGATCACAAGGTCAAGAGTTCGAGACCAACCTCGTCAATATGTTGAAACCTGTCTCTACTAAAAATACAAAAATTACCCGGGTGTGGTGGCGTGCACCTGTAGTTCTGTAGGGAGAACCCCTGAAACCATTGCTATGGAATGAAAGATAAAACGCTCCTGATTATTGTAAATACAAAATTGCATGCAGGATTGTGTATTTACACAATGCCAGTTTGGGCTGCCAGAATGAGCCAACAGCACGTGGTGTACTTCCCCCTGCAGAGAGCCTATAAATGGACATATAGTCAGGGAGGTTTCACATCACCAAGATTCCTATCCCAGAAAAGCAGATATTCATAGCTCTGGGAATGGAATGCAACCCTTGTGGAGAGCCTATAAATGGGACACACGAGGGGAGCCTGTTCATACGGATAAGATAGGGTTATAAATGCCCTTATCTTGCCACAGCTCTTCTAGGTCTCTTTAGGGTTAAGGCATACTCCCTTCTGAGAATTTTTTGGTTTAACTGGTTGTCTAGCTTCATGTCCTGTTTCTATTGATTGTTTGCAACCAGTTTTTCCTGCAACTGTTACTGCTGATTAATATCTTGCTAATCATAGGTTATGGATTGACTGTGTTTCTGTTTTAAGGCTCCGTTAGAAATTGCTGATGCACACACTATGCTGTAAATTCTTATCTCTGTATACTGTACTTCTGCATAAAGATGTTACCTTAAAGAATTCCTTCATCCCCATGTGACCATCTCACCTCGTAATCAAACAACAATGAATCCCTCATTAACCTACCCCCACCCTCACTAAACTTAATAATAAATGTTGGTATATCCAGTACATTGGTGGCATCACAGGACCAGAAAACAATGACCCCCCTGGACCCAGCTTTCACTATCGTGTGTGTGTCTTTTATTTCTTGACCTGCCCATCCACCTGGGAACAAAGAAAGAGACCTGTTGCATGGCGGGCTGCTGGCCAGATCCCGCAATATCATCCCAGCTACTTGGGATGCTGAGGCGGGAGAATCGCTTGAACTCGTAAGGCAGAGTCTGCAGTGAGCTGAGATCATGACACTGCAATCCAGCCTGGGCCACAGA